TTCCACCTTCACAAGGGTCAGCGCCTCAGTGTCAGCAGTAGTAAAGACCAAGTCGTTGATGTACACGAGGATGTAGAACGGTGGCAGGGTAGGGTCGGTGCGTAGAAACAGTGACGGGTCAACAGTCGAAGGAGCAAACCCAAGAGCCGCAAGCGTCCTCCTCAGTGGGTCATGCCACTCGCGGGGTGCCTGGCGAAGACCATAGACCGGCCGCCGGAGGATCCACTGGGTACCTTCAGGAAACGACCTAGTGAAGCCAGGTAGGCGGCGCAGCCAGATCTCCTCGTGAAGGCTGCTCTGCAAGAAAGTTGTGGAGAAGTCGAGGGAGTGCAGTTCGTAGTCACGCTGTGCTGCAACTTGCAGTAACACCCGAAGAGTGGTCATTTTTGGGGTGGGGGAGAAGGTATGGAAGAAGTCGACCCCCTGTCGCTGACTGAAGCCTCGAGCAACATAACTTGCCTTGAAGGCAGGAGGAGAACCCGGCGGCCGCTTCACGCTGAAATCCAAATGCCATCGACTATGCTTGCCCCACAAGGAGGAACCTCGTTGATGTAGGTGCCTGTGGATTTCCAGGAAGCCATCTTTGCGTCCATAGCTGTTTGCCACTGAGAGGAGTACTCACTCGTGATTGCCTCAGCGTAAGAGCGCGGGGTGGAGATGTCTAGTGCATCCGGGTCTCCCTCAGGGCAAAGCAGCATGGACGTGAAATGGAGTAAAGCAGTCGTGAGACACTCGAGCTCAAACTGCCTGTCCTCAAGGACGGCACTGCTAAGGGCAAGCTCACCCCTGACGGACGGAGGACATACGGACCCAGACTCAGTAACAAGACTCGCAACGTAGTCAAGAGGACGGGTAGCAGCAAAGTCGACTAGCTCAGTTACTAGGGCAGACACAGTAGTAGACTCGAAGGAAGGGTCAGTGACGACAGTGGCGAGGAGACGAGTGACAGTAGGACTAGCAGCACGAGCATGGTTAGACTCAGGGTCAGGACGTCAGAGGAGACGGCAGGGCAACACACTGTGGAACAGAGTACTGCCGTAGTGTGCGTGCCGAGGACTGGTGGAGGACGAGGACGACGAGCACGACTGACAATGCGAACAGGGGAGGTAGGACGAGATGCAGGCTCACGATGCTCTTTCAGGGAGCCTGTCTGTGCAAGGTAAGGAGAAGGAGCAGGAAGTGGAGAGCCAAGCAGTAACTGGGGCTGTGACTGGTCAGGTGGAGGATAGAGGAGAGGCGGATCAGACCAGTGGAAGACAGAAAACTAAGAACCTGACGAAGAGCCGAGTCAGGCAGTGGCAGGGACGCCTGTGGCTGCAAGTAGAAAAACGGTCAGCGTGGCACAATACCCGTACTGCCAGCAGCCCCAGCACATCCACTACCACCAGCTCCAGCACCTTCAGTACCTCCAGCTCCAACACCTGCAGTACTAGTACCTCCAGCACCACCAGCTCTAGCACCAGCACCTCCAGCACCAGTACCTCCAGCACTAGTAGCTCTAGCACCTCCTACACCTCCAGCTCTAGCACCTCCAGCACCAGCAGCTCCAGTACCTCCAGCACCAGCAGCTCCAATACCTCCAATACCTCCAGCATCAGCAGCTCCAGCACCAGCAGCTCCAGTACCTCCAGCACCTCCAGCTCTAGCACCTCAAGCAGGAGCACCCAGGACTCCATCACCACTAAAACTCACAGCACCCCTAGTCTCAGCATCCCCAGAACCAGCACCCCCAGAACCAGAACCCCCAGACTCAGCACCCCTAGAGTCAGCAACCTCAGAACCAGCACCTCCAGAGTCTGCACCCCTATTGTCACCACCCTCAGCAGCACCAGAGTCAACAGCAACAGGCTGCGGAGGCGGCGAAGACGACCGAGGCGGAAAACTAAGAGGGGTCTCCAAGCGCGGGGAGCGGTGAGTAGTCGCCGTGTCGTCAGCAGCGGGGTCACCCCCCTCAGCTGGGCCAGAGGTGTCAGAGGAGACCTCTAAAGGCTCAACCAAAGGGGGTGGGTCGACTTGAGATACACCTGAAGGAGCAGGACCCTGTAAGGGGGAGGGGGTCTACCGGGGGGGGACTTGGGACCAGGAAGAGGGGCGGCAGGGAGAATGGGGAAGACACGTGCGGGTGGAGACGGTAGAAGCAGACTGCCTCGTCAGAGGTGACGTCCTATGAGAACAAGACCCGGCTCGAGACAGGGTGGTAAAACTACCAGGGCGGGGTGTTGGTGGGGAAGCTGAGGAGGGTGCAAGAAGAGAGCTTGCCCGCAGTGGTATCGTGAACAACAGAGAGCGCGGCCGAGACCCGAAACGCCGACGCATCGCCAACCTCCCCTGTCCAATGCAGTGTAGGCGAGGTCTCTGGCACAAAGACACGAGGCCAGAGGTTGAGCTGATGTGTGGCGTATCGGATCGCAAACGACCACAGAAAAGGGGAGCAGCCGCATGGATCATGGAGGTGCGAGCAACCTCCATGACCAAGCCAATGCGACGCTCTGCAATCACATTCTGCTACGGAAAGGCAAGAAGCGTGAATGACCGGGCGATTCACTCCGCACGACAAAAGTCCCGAAGGAGGCCTAAGAAGAACTCACCGCCTCTGTCGCGGGACCGGGAGGTCCTGCTGAAACAGCGCGCTCAGCTGGAGACAAAGAGCGATGATCCAGTCGATCAAAACACCGCGGACATCCACCTTGCTCCGCAAGAGGAAGAGCATGGTGTAGCGCGTGTAGTCCTAAAAAACCAGCAGAAAGTAGCGCTCCTGGTCCTGTCCACAGACGCGGGCTGGGCCCCACACGTCCATGTGGAGAGTCTGCAGGGGAGCAGTGGTCGGCGGATACGAGGAGTGAGGAGCGGCGTGCTGCCGCCCCTTGACGTAGGGAAGGCACGGCGGTGCAAGCGATTGCGGGAGCGGGGGCAGGGACATGGGGATGCCAGAGACAAGGAGACGACGCAAGCGTGACAGGGAGTGGTGACCAAGACGGTGGTGCCAGATGAGAGTCTGGTGCGAGAGTAGCCGGCACAAACAAGACGCAGCTAACTGACCCGACGCATCTACTTGACCCAACGTAGTTACCTGACCCGACACATCTACCTGTGCAGACTCTGTGGTCAGTGCGTACAGGCCAGACCCAGGGCTCCGACTGAACGTGGCGAGGTGCTCGCCAGTGCGTGAGTCCGTATAGATCGCCACAAGCTCACCCCAAGGAGTAGTCACAGTGACAAACTGGTTTCTGGAGGACAGCATTACTCACCAAGTTCGAAAAGAACGAGGGGGGGTGGAATCCTGTGAGGGAGCCTGAGGGGGCTGCTGGACACGTGGGAACTGGGGAGGCATGTGCTACAACTGGGCCCACAGAGGGGTCAGCCAGAGAGACCGGACATGTGTAGTGAGCGGTGTGACTGTGGTGCAGTCGCGGAAGAAGCAGCGAGTCGCGCCTGAGTCAAGCGTGAAGGTGTGCAAAGCCTTTACAGAAACTGCACCTGTGCTACCAGGCTCACAGGCACCTAGACTAGTAGCCTTTGCACTACCAGGGACGCGTCGGTAAGAAACCCACTTGAGGCTGCTGCAGTGAGAGGGTCTCCTGCTGACGCTGCTGCTGCTGCTGCTGTCCAGTATCTCCAGCACCATAACCTCCACCACCAAGACGGCCTTGCTGAATAACCCACTCACGAAGAAACTGTGGCGAGAGAGTCTCATGGCGACGAGACCGCCGCCGCTGTCCAGTACCGCCAGCACGTATGAAACCATAACCTCCACCACCAGGACGGCCTCGCTAAATAACCCACTCGCGAAGCTGCTGCGACGATAGGGTCTCCGGCTGACGCTGCTGCTGCTGTTGTCCACCGCGAGACACTGCTATGATTGTGATAGTGGCCATAACAGGCAGTGGCAGTAGCAGCGGCGCAAGGGCGTCAGAAGCGGCCGCTGTAGTTGCAGCTGTAGCAGTAGCGGTAGTCGCTGTAGGGGTAGGGCAGCGCATGGGCTGCAGGGCTGGGCAGCGCGCAGGCTGCAGGGCAGGGCGGCGCGCGGGTGCGGACAGCAGGGCAGTGCAGTGCGCGGGCTGCAGGGCAGGGCGGCGCGCGGGCTACAGGGCAGGTCAATGCGCGGGCTGCAAGGCAGGGTGGCGCGCAGGCTGCAGGGTAGGACAGTGTGCGGGAAGCACTGCAGGGCAGCGCGCGGGCTGCAGGGTAGGGCGTGCGTAGGCAGCTCGCGCGTAAGCAGCGCGCGCGTAGGCAGCGCGCATGCAGGCAGAGCGCGCGTGGGCAGCGCAGGTGTGGGCAGGGCGCAAGCTGCGTGCGTATGTGGCGCAGGTCGCGCGCGGTGAGCAGGGCAGTGCGCAGCGAGCAGGGCAGCGCGCGGCGAGCAGGGCAGCGCGCGGCGAGCAGGGCAGTACGGGTAGCAGCGCAGCACGCACGGCAGCAGGGCAGCGCGCGGCAGGGCAGCGCAGAGCAAGGCAGCGCGATAGCGCTGGGCAGGGCAGGGCAGCAGCGCGAGGCGAGCAGGGCAGCACGCGTCGGCAGCAGCTCCTGGGGCAGTACGTACGGTGGGTGGGCCCTAACGGAGCGGTTCTACAAAGGGACCTGCTCTGAATACCATGACAGAAATAAAACGTAAAAATGGTTGACTAGTAGGGAAAAGTGAGTACAAGTACTAGGAATGACCTAAGGTGTTGTACTCCTTGAAGTACGCCCCACTACAGCCTAGAGATAATAAATGCAATTTGACAGTCCACCCTCATACACTAATGTACAGGTACGCCTCCAGTGAGCACTCCTGCAAAGTTTCCATATGTTTTGCTTGCTCCTTCCTTAAGCTGAAAGCTGGACAATCGCCATTGCTTTGTAGAGTTGTGACCATGGCCATTTGCCCCAACACAAGGAGCTCAATACACGATGAGAAGAGTTGGGAAGGAAGAACAAGGGTTACAAAATCTGATGTTGGGCATTCAACACACACCACCCAATCATAACTATTCATAAGCCTCAACGGTTCAATGCCAATCCTATCTACCCAAATGTACAGTGGTGGGAACACCATTCCTCTGCACCTCCACCCGGCAAATCAGCCGCTGCCCATCGCAATCAGAGTGACCGCCAGCACAGGCGCTCGGAGAGGATCGACCCGGGGTGGAGGAAAGATGGGAGGAGGCAAGAGGAGTGGAGGGAGGAAGAGGGTTGTGAGGATGGGAGGAGCCAGGACTAGAGGAGGGCGGATGGGGGGAGCGAGGGTGATGGGAGCCAGGAGGAGAGGGGGGGAAAGAGAGAGGATGTGGGTGGGAATTGGAGGAGGATGGCATGGAGAGGAGGCGGCGGAGGATGGGGTCGGAGAGACAGGTGTCGCTGGGGGTGGGGGATGTGGATGCGCCTGCACAATGGGTTTGGGGGGAACCGAAAGAGGGGGGTGGGGAAAGAGGGTGGTGATGGCGTGATGAGGTGACGGGGTGATGAAGTGATGAGGTTCTGCAGTACTCACCAGAAGCATCAACAACAGACGCCCAGCAGCAGCAGTGGCAGAGTGGAAGATGATGTGTGCGAGGCGCTGCTTGGCTTGAAGTGACCTGATGCAATGAGATGATGATGTTCAGCGGTTCTCACCAGGAGCAGACGCATTTGAAGCATCAGCAGCAGCAGCAGCATTAGCAGCATCACCACCAGAAGCAACAGCATTAGCACCACCGCCAGTGGCGGAGTGGAAGATGACATGGGCGAGGCGCTGCTTGGCCTGAGCGCAGCGCAGCTTGTACATCTCCCCCATGCCCTCCAGCAGCAGTCGATACACATGCACCCGCCGCTGCTGCCCTGTGCGCCACACCCGCGAGATGGCCTGTGGGGAGTGCAGGTGGGGAGGGGGGACGAAGATTGCTGCGGAGGGAGGGACAGCAGCCAATGAGTGTGCACCACCTGCTGCTGCTGCCCTGAGTGCCACACTCTGAGAACTTCCTGAGGCAGATGGTGGTTGGGGAAGAAAGATGGTGGGGATAACAATATAAGTGGGAAAGAAGGATGGTGGGACAAACAGGGTATTGAGAGCTCGAACAAACTTGGGGACCTACGGCCGTTTCCTGGATGAGTCAGCATTTGATGCTAAACAATGCTGCATCGGGTTGACATACCTGCTGGTCAGAATCCACCCTGCACCCGACCTGACAAAACACCTGATCATACACCTTACCCGGCACCTTACCCTGCACCTTACCCCGCACTTTACCCCATAACTGGCACCCCTCACACCTGCTAATCGGAGTCAACCCCCCCCCCCCCCCCCCCCCCTCCCACACCTGCTGGTCAGAGGCCGGGTTCCAGAGAGCATCCAGCATGACGACTCGCGAGGCCGCGGTGAAGTCGATGCCCAGCCCGCATGCCTTCACGGCCGCCACCATTACCGCTGCTTGCGGCACCACCTCCTTCTGGAACCGCTCGAAGGCGTCGCTGCGCTGCGCCTGAGTCATGCTGCCGTCCACCCTCAACACCTGCTCGTCTTGTGTCCAGTTCCTGCCGGTCCAGACAAGAGATAGTGCACACATGAAAATTCCTGAAGCCCTGCAAATAGATGGGAGCAAATCGTCACCATCACCGTTGCTTGCCGCACCCTCTCCCTCTGTAAACCGCTCGAAGGCATCGCTGCGCTGTGATTTGGTCGTGCTGCCATCCACCCGCAACACCTGCTCGTCTCTTGTCCAGTTCTTGTTGGTTCAGATGGGAGGGAATTGGAAGCGAGGAGTTTTGAGGCGCCTCAAAAGAGGGAATTGGAAGCGAGGAGTGCGTGAGTGATAGAAGATTTCAAGGCTCAACTCTTGTCCAGTCCCTGCCGTTCAAACAAGTGATAGGGCGGAAGTGACGCGCTGCAAATAAAGTAAACACGCAGCACACTGCTCGTCTCCTGTCCAATCCATGCCAATTCAGACGACGCGGACTGTGAAGTGACGGAGTGCGCGAGAGATAGCGAAATTTGAGGTGCCTCAGACAAAGTCTTGTTTTGTTGCCTATCTCCCACCCAGCAGCCCTCACACAGTGTGGGAATGGAAGCTATTACTCACAGGGCATGGCACAGCGACCCCACCATGAGGTCTAGATGAACGTGCTTCTCTGCAAACACCACCAAACTTCTCGCCCATGCGCACACAAAATAAGACATGGGATGCCCTGTCCTACCTTGTTGCCAAACTCTCACCCAGCAGTACTCACAGGGCGTGGGAATGGAAGCTACTACTCACATGGCGTGGCACACCGACCCCACAACGAGGTCATGCACGTGCTCCTCCGCAAACACCACCACCTTCCCTGTGCGCACATAGAATGGGATACCCCATGTCCTGCCCCCATCTCCCATCCAGCAGCACTCACAGGGCGTGGCACAGCGACCCCACCACGAGGTCCAGGTGAACGTGCTCCTCTGCAAACACCACCACCTTCTCGCCCATGAGCATCGCCGTGCGCACGATCGCCACCACGGCTGCCAGCTTGGGGGACAGCTGCACAGCCTGCTGCTCCTCCATGGCCGCCCACGCTGGGCTCAGCGCCTCCCTGTTGCGCTCCAGACACCGCACCTCGTTCTGCACAACCCCGCCACGCGATTTGCCTTGCACTTTGCTTCCACCAGCGGCATCAGGGCTACCACCCAGAGATTTCCCACCCTCTCCTCCTCCTGCTGCTCCAGCTGCTCCAGCTGCTGCTGGTGCTGCTGGTGCCGGTGGTTGAAATTGTCGCATGGCGAGCATGGCTTGAGGCATGCCTCGGATGCCGCGGTTGAGCTTCCAGGCAAAGGCGCAGGGGTGCACGCACAGGCTGCCCACGATCTTGAGATCGATCATCGACAGCTGCCACTCCGTGCCGCCGCCGCCGCTGCTGCTGCTGCTGCTGCTGCCACCAGTGATGCTGCCACTGGTACCAGTGATGTTGCTGCTGTTGCTGTTGTTGTTGCTGCTGTTTTTGGTGTTGCGCAGCAGTGCCTGCTGCTGCTGCAGGTGCTGCTGGGCGAGGCGGGGAGCAACAGTGGCGGAGTAGAAGGCACGCAGGATGGCCAGCTGGAGAGGCGTGGGGTGCAACAGTAGTGTCACGTCCACCAAGTCTGGAGGGAGGCGGTTCAAAGGCACAGGGAGATTATCAGCAGCGGCATGCTATAAAGGCATGCAAAAGGAACATGGCAAAGCATGTGCAATTTAGCATAACCATTCTTTTTTTTGGGATGTGTTTATTAATATTATTATTATTATCATTATTCCGCGTTCTTCTTGCCTTGCATGTTCCTTGCTTTCCTCTCTGAACCGGCCCATCTCTCATACCTCTCGGCTAGCCCTGAACCCTCCTGCTGCCATGCGTCCTTCACAGCGTACATCTCAGCCGGCCCTCATACCACCCTAACCGTACCTCGCAGCTTGCCCTGCATCACGTTGCCATCTGTCTGCACAAGACGAGGTCAAACATGAGCTCTTTCAGCCGCTGCGCCTTTGAGCTCTGAGGCACCTCACAGTATACCTCTCAGTCCACCCTCATACCACTGTAGTCGTACCTCTCAGTTAGCCCTGCAACACATTGCAATCTCTCAATCCTACCTCTCAGTTAGCCCTGCGACACATTGCGATCTCTCAATTATACCTCTCAGTTAGCCCTGCGACACATTGCAATCTCTCAATCATACCTCTCAGTTAGCCCTGCGACACATTGCAATCTCTCAATCATACCTCTCAGTTAGCCCTGCGACACATTGCAATCTCTCAATCTTACCTCTCAGTTAGCCCTGCGACACATTGCAATCTCTCAATCATACCTCTCAGTTAGCCCTGCGACACATTGCAATCTCTCAATCATACCTCTCAGTTAGCCCTGCGACACATTGCAATCTCTCAATCATACCTGTCAGTTAGCCCTGCAACACATTGCAATCTCTCAATCCTACCTCTCAGTTTGCCCTGCAACACATTGCAATCTCTCAATCCTACCTCTCAGTCTGCCCTGCGACACATTGCAATCTCTCAATCATACCTCTCAGTTAGCCCTGCAACACATTGCAATCTCTCAATCCTACCTCTCAGTTTGCCCTGCGACACATTGCAATCTCTCAATCCTACCTCTCAGTCTGCCCTGCGACACATTGCAATCTCTCAATCATACCTCTCAGTTAGCCCAGCAACACATTGCAATCTCTCAATCCTACCTCCCAGTTTGCCCTGCGACACATTGCAATCTCTCAATCATACCTCTCAGTTAGCCCTGCGACACATTGCAATCTCTCAATCATACCTCTCAGTTAGCCCTGCGACACATTGCAATCTCTCAATCATACCTCTCTGGTAGCCCTGCGACACATTGCAATCTCTCAATCATACCTCTCAGTTAGCCCTGCAACACATTGCAATCTCTCAATCCTACCTCTCAGTTTGCCCTGCGACACATTGCAATCTCTCAATCCTACCTCTCAGTCTGCCCTGCGACACATTGCAATCTCTCAATCATACCTCTCAGTTAGCCCTGCAACACATTGCAATCTCTCAATCCTACCTCTCAGTTTGCCCTGCGACACATTGCAATCTCTCAATCCTACCTCTCAGTCTGCCCTGCGACACATTGCAATCTCTCAATCATACCTCTCAGTTAGCCCTGCGACACATTGCAATCTCTCAATCATACCTCTCAGTTAGCCCTGCAACACATTGGAATCTCTCAATCCTACCTCTCAGTTTGCCCTGCGACACATTGCAATCTCTCAATCCTACCTCTCAGTCTGCCCTGCGACACATTGCAATCTCTCAATCATACCTCTCAGTTAGCCCTGCGACACATTGCAATCTCTCAATCATACCTCTCAGTTAGCCCTGCAACACATTGCAATCTCTCAATCCTACCTCTCAGTTTGCCCTGCGACACATTGCAATCTCTCAATCATACCTCTCAGTCTGCCCTGCGACACATTGCAATCTCTCAATCATACCTCTCAGTTAGCCCTGCGACACATTGCAATCTCTCAATCATACCTCTCAGTTAGCCCTGCAACACATTGAAATCTCTCAATCCTACCTCTCAGTTTGCCCTGCGACACATTGCAATCTCTCAATCCTACCTCTCAGTCTGCCCTGCGACACATTGCAATCTCTCAATCATACCTCTCAGTTAGCCCTGCGACACATTGCAATCTCTCAATCATACCTCTCAGTTAGCCCTGCAACACATTGCAATCTCTCAATCCTACCTCTCAGTTTGCCCTGCGACACAGTGCAATCTCTCAATCCTACCTCTCAGTTAGCCCTGCGACACATTGCAATCTCTCAATCCTACCTCTCAGTTAGCCCTGCAACACATTGCAATCTCTCAATCATACCTCTCAGTTTGCCCTGCGACACATTGCAATCTCTCAATCATACCTCTCAGTTAGCCCTGCGACACATTGCAATCTCTCAATCCTACCTCTCAGTTTGCCCTGCGACACATTGCTATCTCTCAATCATACCTCTCAGTTAGCCCTGCGACACATTGCAATCTCTCAATCATACCTCTCAGTTAGCCCTGCAACACATTGCAATCTCTCAATCCTACCTCTCAGTTTGCCCTGCGACACATTGCAATCTCTCAATCCTACCTCTCAGTCTGCCCTGCGACACATTGCAATCTCTCAATCCTACCTCTCAGTTAGCCCTGCAACACATTGCAATCTCTCAATCCTACCTCTCAGTTTGCCCTGCGACACATTGCAATCTCTCAATCATACCTCTCAGTTAGCCCTGCGACACATTGCAATCTCTCAATCCTACCTCTCAGTTTGCCCTGCGACACATTGCAATCTCTCAATCATACCTCTCAGTTAGCCCTGCGACACATTGCAATCTCTCAATCATACCTCTCAGTTAGCCCTGCAACACATTGCAATCTCTCAATCCTACCTCTCAGTTTGCCCTGCGACACATTGCAATCTCTCAATCCTACCTCTCAGTCTGCCCTGCGACACATTGCAATCTCTCAATCCTACCTCTCAGTTAGCCCTGCAACACATTGCAATCTCTCAATCCTACCTCTCAGTTTGCCCTGCGACACATTGCAATCTCTCAATCCTACCTCTCAGTCTGCCCTGCGACACATTGCAATCTCTCAATCATACCTCTCAGTTAGCCCTGCAACACATTGCAATCTCTCAATCCTACCTCCCAGTTTGCCCTGCGACACATTGCAATCTCTCAATCATACCTCTCAGTTAGCCCTGCGACACATTGCAATCTCTCAATCATACCTCCCAGTTAGCCCTGCGACACATTGCAATCTCTCAATCATACCTCTCTGTTAGCCCTGCGACACATTGCAATCTCTCAATCATACCTCTCAGTTAGCCCTGCAACACATTGCAATCTCTCAATCCTACCTCTCAGTTTGCCCTGCGACACATTGCAATCTCTCAATCCTACCTCTCAGTCTGCCCTGCGACACATTGCAATCTCTCAATCATACCTCTCAGTTAGCCCTGCAACACATTGAAATCTCTCAATCCTACCTCTCAGTTTGCCCTGCGACACATTGCAATCTCTCAATCCTACCTCTCAGTCTGCCCTGCGACACATTGCAATCTCTCAATCATACCTCTCAGTTAGCCCTGCGACACATTGCAATCTCTCAATCATACCTCTCAGTTAGCCCTGCAACACATTGGAATCTCTCAATCCTACCTCTCAGTTTGCCCTGCGACACATTGCAATCTCTCAATCCTACCTCTCAGTCTGCCCTGCGACACATTGCAATCTCTCAATCATACCTCTCAGTTAGCCCTGCGACACATTGCAATCTCTCAATCATACCTCTCAGTTAGCCCTGCAACACATTGCAATCTCTCAATCCTACCTCTCAGTTTGCCCTGCGACACATTGCAATCTCTCAATCATACCTCTCAGTTAGCCCTGCGACACATTGCAATCTCTCAATCATACCTCTCAGTTAGCCCTGCAACACATTGAAATCTCTCAATCCTACCTCTCAGTTTGCCCTGCGACACATTGCAATCTCTCAATCCTACCTCTCAGTCTGCCCTGCGACACATTGCAATCTCTCAATCATACCTCTCAGTTAGCCCTGCGACACATTGCAATCTCTCAATCATACCTCTCAGTTAGCCCTGCAACACATTGCAATCTCTCAATCCTACCTCTCAGTTTGCCCTGCGACACAGTGCAATCTCTCAATCCTACCTCTCAGTCTGCCCTGCGACACATTGCAATCTCTCAATCCTACCTCTCAGTTAGCCCTGCAACACATTGCAATCTCTCAATCCTACCTCTCAGTTTGCCCTGCGACACATTGCAATCTCTCAATCATACCTCTCAGTTAGCCCTGCGACACATTGCAATCTCTCAATCCTACCTCTCAGTTTGCCCTGCGACACATTGCAATCTCTCAATCATACCTCTCAGTTAGCCCTGCGACACATTGCAATCTCTCAATCATACCTCTCAGTTAGCCCTGCAACACATTGCAATCTCTCAATCCTACCTCTCAGTTTGCCCTGCGACACATTGCAATCTCTCAATCCTACCTCTCAGTCTGCCCTGCGACACATTGCAATCTCTCAATCCTACCTCTCAGTTAGCCCTGCAACACATTGCAATCTCTCAATCCTACCTCTCAGTTTGCCCTGCGACACATTGCAATCTCTCAATCCTACCTCTCAGTCTGCCCTGCGACACATTGCAATCTCTCAATCATACCTCTCAGTTAGCCCTGCAACACATTGCAATCTCTCAATCCTACCTCCCAGTTTGCCCTGCGACACATTGCAATCTCTCAATCATACCTCTCAGTTAGCCCTGCGACACATTGCAATCTCTCAATCATACCTCCCAGTTAGCCCTGCGACACATTGCAATCTCTCAATCATACCTCTCTGTTAGCCCTGCGACACATTGCAATCTCTCAATCATACCTCTCAGTTAGCCCTGCAACACATTGCAATCTCTCAATCCTACCTCTCAGTTTGCCCTGCGACACATTGCAATCTCTCAATCCTACCTCTCAGTCTGCCCTGCGACACATTGCAATCTCTCAATCATACCTCTCAGTTAGCCCTGCAACACATTGAAATCTCTCAATCCTACCTCTCAGTTTGCCCTGCGACACATTGCAATCTCTCAATCCTACCTCTCAGTCTGCCCTGCGACACATTGCAATCTCTCAATCATACCTCTCAGTTAGCCCTGCGACACATTGCAATCTCTCAATCATACCTCTCAGTTAGCCCTGCAACACATTGGAATCTCTCAATCCTACCTCTCAGTTTGCCCTGCGACACATTGCAATCTCTCAATCCTACCTCTCAGTCTGCCCTGCGACACATTGCAATCTCTCAATCATACCTCTCAGTTAGCCCTGCGACACATTGCAATCTCTCAATCATACCTCTCAGTTAGCCCTGCAACACATTGCAATCTCTCAATCCTACCTCTCAGTTTGCCCTGCGACACATTGCAATCTCTCAATCATACCTCTCAGTTAGCCCTGCGACACATTGCAATCTCTCAATCATACCTCTCAGTTAGCCCTGCAACACATTGAAATCTCTCAATCCTACCTCTCAGTTTGCCCTGCGACACATTGCAATCTCTCAATCCTACCTCTCAGTCTGCCCTGCGACACATTGCAATCTCTCAATCATACCTCTCAGTTAGCCCTGCGACACATTGCAATCTCTCAATCATACCTCTCAGTTAGCCCTGCAACACATTGCAATCTCTCAATCCTACCTCTCAGTTTGCCCTGCGACACAGTGCAATCTCTCAATCCTACCTCTCAGTCTGCCCTGCGACACATTGCAATCTCTCAATCCTACCTCTCAGTTAGCCCTGCAACACATTGCAATCTCTCAATCCTACCTCTCAGTTTGCCCTGCGACACATTGCAATCTCTCAATCATACCTCTCAGTTAGCCCTGCGACACATTGCAATCTCTCAATCCTACCTCTCAGTTTGCCCTGCGACACATTGCAATCTCTCAATCATACCTCTCAGTTAGCCCTGCGACACATTGCAATCTCTCAATCATACCTCTCAGTTAGCCCTGCAACACATTGCAATCTCTCAATCCTACCTCTCAGTTTGCCCTGCGACACATTGCAATCTCTCAATCCTACCTCTCAGTCTGCCCTGCGACACATTGCAATCTCTCAATCATACCTCTCAGTTAGCCCTGCGACACATTGCAATCTCTCAATCATACCTCTCAGTTAGCCCTGCAACACATTGCAATCTCTCAATCCTACCTCTCAGTTTGCCCTGCGACACAGTGCAATCTCTCAATCCTACCTCTCAGTCTGCCCTGCGACACATTGCAATCTCTCAATCCTACCTCTCAGTTAGCCCTGCAACACATTGCAATCTCTCAATCCTACCTCTCAGTTTGCCCTGCGACACATTGCAATCTCTCAATCATACCTCTCAGTTAGCCCTGCGACACATTGCAATCTCTCAATCCTACCTCTCAGTTTGCCCTGCGACACATTGCAATCTCTCAATCATACCTCTCAGTTAGCCCTGCGACACATTGCAATCTCTCAATCATACCTCTCAGTTAGCCCTGCAACACATTGCAATCTCTCAATCCTACCTCTCAGTTTGCCCTGCGACACATTGCAATCTCTCAATCCTACCTCTCAGTCTGCCCTGCGACACATTGCAATCTCTCAATCCTACCTCTCAGTTAGCCCTGCAACACATTGCAATTTCTCAATCCTACCTCTCAGTTTGCCCTGCGACACATTGCAATCTCTCAATCATACCTCTCAGTTTGCCCTGCGACACATTGCAATCTCTCAATCCTACCTCTCAGTTTTCCCTGCGACACATTGCAATCTCTCAATCATACCTCTCAGTTAGCCCTGCGACACATTGCAATCTCTCAATCATACCTCTCAGTTAGCCCTGCAACACATTGCAATCTCTCAATCCTACCTCTCAGTTAGCCCTGCGACACATTGCAATCTCTCAATCATACCTCTCAGTTAGCCCTGCGACACATTGAAATCTCTCAATCCTACCTCTCAGTTTGCCCTGCGACACATTGCAATCTCTCAATCCTAGCTCTCAGTCTGCCCTGCGACACATTGCAATCTCTCAATCATACCTCTCAGTTAGCCCTGCGACACATTGCAATCTCTCAATCATACTTCTCAGTTTGCCCTGCGACACATTGCAATCTCTCAATCCTACCTCTCAGTCTGCCCTGCAACACATTGCAATCTCTCAATCCTACCTCTCAGTCTGCCCTGCGACACATTGCAATCTCTCAATCATACCTCTCAGTTAGCCCTGCGACACATTGCAATCTCTCACTCCTACCTCTCAGTTAGCCCTGCGACACATTGCAATCTCTCAATCATACCTCTCAGTTAGCCCTGCGACACATTGCAATCTCTCAATCATACCTCTCAGTTAGCCCTGCGACACATTGCAATCTCTCAATCATACCTCTCAGTTAGCCCTGCGACACATTGCAATCTCTCACTCCTACCTCTCAGTTTGCCCTGCGACACATTGCAATCTCTCAATCATACCTCTCAGTTAGCCCTGCGACACATTGCAATCTCTCAATCCTACCTCTCAGTTAGCCCTGCGACACATTGCAATCTCTCAATCATACCTCTCAGTTTGCCCTGCGACACATTGCAATCTCTCAATCATACCTCTCAGTTAGCCCTGCAACACATTGCAATCTCTCAATCATACCTCTCATTTTGCCCTGCGACACATTGCAATCTCTCAATCATACCTCTCAGTTAGCCCTGCGACACATTGCAATCTCTCAATCATACCTCTCAGTTTGCTCTGTGACACATTGCAATGTCTCAATCGTACCTCTCAGTTTGCCCTGCAGCACATTCCCATCGGTCTGCACGAGGTCGAACATGAGCGCCTTCAGCCGCTGCACCTTCGCCAAAGGGAACTCCTCCGCTCCCACCCCCTCACACTCACCCCTCCCCCGCGCTCCTGCCTTCTCCCTCCCCTCCCCCCCCTCTACATCCTTTCCTTCCTCCTCACCCCCCTCCCTGCCCTCCCCTTCCTCCTCTTCCATATTCTCCACACCATTTTCCTCCTCCTGCTCATCCTCCTCCTCTTGCCATCGCCTCTTACCCCCTCGCTCCTTCCTCCTCCTCCCATCCTTCCTCCCGGTCTTCTTCAGAGGAACGTCAAATATTTGAACAAACTCCGCCCGCGCTCGCCGCCGCTCCCTCCTTTCCCTCTTGCTCAGATACGCACCCCCCTCCTCCACCTCATCCTCCTCCTCCACCTCATCCTCCTCCTCCACCTCATCCTCTTCCTCCTCCTCCCCCTCACCACTATCATCGTCCTCCTCCATCCCTACCGCATCCTCCCCCTCGCCTCCACTTTCCTCCTCGCTCCCCCTCTTTTGCACACTCTTCCCCCTGCGCTTTCCTCCGCCCTCCCCTTTTCCCCCCGTCATCCCCAGCACAGCGCGGTGCATGCGGGGGCGGTGCACGAAGCACGCCAGGTCCCAGAGCTCGAGAGTGGAGTTCTGCAGCGGCGTGCCCGTTAGCAGGACCCTTCTTCGCGTGTGCAGCCGGTCCAAGGCCTGGTTGAAAGGGAGATTGGGAAGCGGAGCAGGCAGGAAAATTGGGAAGGGATGCAAGAGAGCGGAAACAAAAAGGTGTCGTTAGATTAACAGCACACACATAACAAGCAAAATTATCCCATGCTCTGAACCATCCCCATCCCCAGCACAGCATGGCGCATATGAAAAAGCAGCCGGATGCGACAGGCGTAGTGTGCACGCCACAACACAGCACAGCACACCAAGCTCGCTCACCCGGTGTGAGATGGTGGATGGCGATTCGATCCGATGGTCCTCGTCGCAGATGAGCACATTTGTGTCCTTCACCACATGTGATGATGTGACAGCCCAGCACGTGACACCCCTGCAGGTGCAGCACGCTTACCCGATGCAAGATATCAAAGCAGCACCACAGATGTCACACGCACGCTGTGCTTACCCGGTGCGAGATGGTGGAGGGCGATTTGATGCGGTGGCCCTCGTCACAGATGAGCACATCCGTCTCCTCCACCACCATCCGTCTCACCTCGCCCCTCGCCCACACCCCCTCCTCCCGCCCCTGCGACCCCAACCCCCACACCCCGCCTGCCCTTCCTGCCCCCCCTACTCCCCGCTTCTCAATCACCCCTTCCAGAAACCCATAAGTCGCAATCAACACACCACCCTTAGCAGCCCACGCCTTGGCCACCCTCTCTGCTTCTCGTATCCCCCCTGCGCCCCCGCCTTCCAGGACTTTGAGGGAGGGGATGACAGCGCGCTGGGAGCGGGTGGTGATCCACTTGTGGAACTCGCCCCACCATGAGTCCACTATGGAGAGCTCTGTCACGATCAGGATGCGCGGCGGGGTGCCGCTTGCTGCAGACACAGCAGCAGAGGCACTGAGATGCCCCGTCTCACCACGAGTGAGCCGCTGATGGTGATGCAGGGAGAGAAGCTTCTCGATGAAGGCGATGGTGGTCAGCGTCTTGCCCGTGCCAGGCGCATGCGCCAAGATGCACCCCCCTACTTCCCTCTCCTGTGATTTCACGTCTCCTCCCCCTGCTCCCACTCGCCCTTCCCCTGGCCCCCCCCCGCCCCCAGCCACCAGGTGGTGCCAGATGAATCGGAACGCAGCAATCTGATGGCTCTGCATCCTCTTTCGGAGGAAATCCGACGGCCAGCAATCGTGCTCCACCCCGATCTCCCCCAGCAGCTGCTGCCGCCGCTCAAGCTCTCGCTCCCGCTCCCTCTCTTTCCGCTGTTTCTCCCTCTCGCGCTGCGCTGCCTGCTCGCGCTGCTGCTCCTCCCGGCGCCACTCTGCCTCTGCAGCCTCCAAGGCTCGCATGGCCTGCTGTGACTGCAGCTGCATTGGGTTCAGGTGGGGCCGCCTGATGGTCACCACTGCCCCTGGGGAGGGCCGGTTCGGGACCTGTGGATGAGAAACGGAGAAACGGGCGACATGGGGAAAATGGGAGAAACAGGAGGAACGGGGGACATGGGGAAAATGGGAGAAACAGGAGGAACGGGGGACATGGGGAAAATGGGAGAAACAGGAGGAACGGGGGACATGGGGAAAATGGGAGAAACAGGAGGAACGGGGGACATGGGGAAAATGGGAGAAACAGGAGGAATGGGGGACATGGGGAAAATGGGAGAAACAGGAGGAACGGGGGACATGGGGAAAATGGGAGAAACAGGAGGAACGGGGGACATGGGGAAAATGGGAGAAACAGGAGGAACGGGGGACATGGGGAAAATGGGAGAAACAGGAGGAACGGGGGACATGGGGAAAATGGGAGAAACAGGAGGAACGGGGGACATGGGAGTGAAGATAAGTGTGTGCGCTGCCTGCTGGCGCTGCTGCTCCTCCCGGCGCCACTCAGCCTCTGCAGCCTCCATGGCTCGCATGGCCTGCTGCGCCTGCAGCTGCATCGGGGTGAGGTACGCCCGCCTGATGGTCACTGCTCCTGGGGAGGGCACGCCAGGGCAGCTTCCATCCCATCCCATGGCCTGCCCGCCTGCTGCATGCGCCTGCAAGTGCATTGGGGCGAGGTGGGGCCGCCTTTTGCTCGTCACAACCCTTGGGGAGGGCTGGTTCGTTGCCTGTGGGTGGGAGATATGAGGCGGCGAAATTGAGGGCACGGGAGAGTTTTGGAAAAAACGAAAGAGAGATACGGGAGAGGAACGGGAGAGACATGGGAGAGGAACGGGAGAGACATGGGAGAGGAGCGGGAGAGACATGGGAGAGGAACGGGAGAGACATGGGAGAGGAACGGGAGAGACATGGGAGAGGAACGGGAGGGACATGGGAGAGGAATGGGAGAGACATGGGAGAGGAACGGGAGAGACATGGGAGAGGAACGGGAGAGACATGGGAGAGGAACGAGAGAGACACGCACGGGAGAGGAATGGGAGAGACACGGGAGATGACACGTGCGCTGCCTGCTCCTTCTGCTCCTTCCCTCACCGTCTGCATTGCCTGCTCTGGGTGCTCCCCTTCACGCTTCACCGCACGTGAAGGTATCACTCATGACCCTTCCGCCCTGCTACCCCTCCTAGGTAAACCTTTCAGTTTGCTCGAACCGTAACATGGTATCGAAGCTTCTTGCACGCACATACACATCTCTCCGACTTGGACTTAATGAAAACCGTCTCGAACTGTAACAAGTTTACCTGTGGTTCTTGCTTGAGACGCAGACCTCTTGTCATGGATCATCGCACAACTCACCAGCGACAGCTCGTGTGCGCTCCTGAGAACCACGCCGCACTTGGCACAACCCCCCCCCCCCCCCTCCACACAGCAAGGCATGCAACAAGCTACAGGCATGCAACAAGCTACAGGCATGCAACAAGCTACAGGCATGCACAGCACACGACTCACCAGCGACAGCTCGTGGGCGCTCCTGAGGACGATGCCGCACTTGGCACACACCTCCCCCTCCATCGCATCCTCCTCCACCACATGCCGCCCCCCGTCGTACCGACACACTCCCTGCCTCCTCACATCGTATGCCCCCATGGGATGGCCTGACCGCCCCTCCTCCCTCTCCACATCCTCCTCCTCATCACTCTCCTTGTCAGAACCACCACTGTCATCATCACTACCATCATCGTCATCATCAGTATCTGTCCCATCATTCGCTCCTGAGTTATCATCAGAATCCCCATCACCACCACCACCATCAGTCTTTCCCCCACTCGGCCCATCAGCAGCAGCAGAAGTGCCCTTGCGTTGGTTGAGGGCCATCCACATGTTGATCATATATGCCGGCACAGCGCCCTTTGCTCCCAGTGCCTCCCTTTCGTTGGCAATATTTTCATCTCTCCTCGCTCTCTTCCTGTCACTCCACCTCTGCTGATCTCGCACCTGCTGCTGAATCCGCTGCTGCTGAAGCAAAAGCTGCTGCTGCTGTTGCTGAGACGGCTGCTTCTGCCTGTGCATTTCAACCCGCTGTTTCTGTGCTGATGCACTGGCAGGAGGAGGGGGAGAGGGAGCAGCAGGGGGAGAGGGGGGAGGAGCAGTGCGGGTTGAAGGAGTGGGAGAAGCAGGATCAGCGGAAGGGGCAGAGGAGGAGGGAGCAGAGGAGGAGGAAGGAGCAGAGGAGGAGGGGGCGGAGGAGGAGGGAGAAGAGGAGGGAGCAGAGGAGGGGGCGGAGGAAGAGGGAGCAGAGGAGGAGGGAGCAGAGGTGGCAGGAGCAACAGGGGTTGAGGCAACAGGTGGGGAGGAGGAGGCGGGGGGAGGCTGAGGTAAGGTTGATGTGGGTGGGATGGGAAGGGGTGGTGCAGGTGAAGCAGAGGGATGGAGGCGAGGAGATGCAATGAGGAGGGCAGACGGGAGAAGCACATCTATGCCTCTCGTGCCTCTTGCACCTCTTGTGTCTCTTGCACCTGTTGCGGCTGTTGTGGCTGCTGTGGCTGTTGCGTCTGTTGCAGCTGTTGTGGCTGTCGTGTTTGTTGCGGTCCTTGTGGCTTCAGTAAGTCCAGTGGCTTCCTGATCAGCCTCTTCCCGTGCCTCCTCCCCCTTAGCTTCATCTTCCGCTTTCTCCTCTGGGCCTACAAGCCCCTCCTCGCCTCTCAAATTCACCTCTCCCTGCATCTCCGCTGGGCCTTCCTCGCTGCACATCTCTCCCTCCTGCACATCTCTCTTCCTCTTCCGCGCCCCGCCTCCCTCCACGCCACCACTCTCTCCCCCACACGGATCACAGCACGCCACCTCGTCCCGCCCATCCCCAGCCAAGCATTGCTCTGCATTTGGTGAAGTCTGAGCCGACCCAGAGCTCACCTCCACGCCCCCGGCCTCTCCTACACACGGAGCCGAGCACACCAGCTCATCCTCATGCACAGATTGCCCTGCACTCGCTGCTTCTCCTGCCACTCCTCCCTCTCCTCCCTCTCCTCCCTCTCCTCCCTCTCCTCCCTCTCCTCCCTCTCCTCCCTCTCCTCCCTCTCCTCCCTCTCCTGCCCCTCCTGCTTCTCCCCTCTGCCTCTCCACCCCCATTCCGCCCTTCTCCCCTCCCTCCCCACCTTGTACACCCGCCCCCACCAACGCGTCATCCCCCTCGTCCAGCCACTCATCCACGGCACTCTTCGCCCTCTTCCATGCACGCTCCCAACCCCACACATCCCACTCCTCTTCCCTGCCTCCCCTCTTACCTGGCCTCCTTCCTTCCCCGCCCACCTCTCCATCTGGTGCTTTCTCCAACTCTTTAGGTACCTCTTGAGTCGACTCAAAAACGGCCCTGTTGCCAGTGCACCTTCCGTCCCCTTCCACCTCTCCACCTGAGACCCTTTCCAACTCCTTTGGCTGCTCCTTGCTTTCCTCCTCTGCCCCTTGATCAGCCTCCTCACCTTCCTCTTCTCGCCGCACCCCTTCACTTCCTTCCTGCCCCCACACTCCATCCCCTTCCTCGCCCGCCTCCTCCACACCTTCCAACTCTTTGTGTGCTCTCCCCGTCATTTCTCCCTCTTCCTTCCTCGCTACCTCTTCCTTCCTTGTTTCCACTTGCCCCATCCCCTCTCTACATCTTCCACTATCATCCAATATAACCACCGTCGCACCCCCTGTCTCCTCTCCTTGCTCTCTCCCCTCTCCCTGTCCCACTCTCCTCGCCTCCTCCTCTTCCTCCTCCTCTTCCTCCTCCTCTTCCTCATCATCATCATCCAGAAAGATAATCTCCTCTTCAACCTCATCCTCCTCCCTCACACCAACAGCCCCATCCTTCACCGGCGCGCTAGAAGCACCCACCACAGTAGGCGCAGCAGAGTGACAAGGGTAACGAGGGCGAGAGAGATGAACATGGTGGGGGTGGTGAGCACGACACGGGCCATGCGGGTGATGGGGAATGATGCTACGAGCAGCCAGTAAGCCCCACGCACGGCCCAGCCCCGCCGGTCTCTGACCACCTTTTGCTTCCACTGCATCACCTTCCTCTCGCATCTTCCCACTCCTTTCCTCCTTGTTCCCTTCCTCCTCTCTTGTCACCTGATTTATTCCCTGCCGCCCCTCTTCCTTCCTCTCCTCTTCCTTCCTCTCTTTTTCCTTCCTCTCCTCTTCCTTTCTCTCTTCTTCCTTCCTCTCCTCTTCCGCCCTCTCCTTTTCCTTCCTCTCCTCTTCCTTTCTCTCCTCTTCCATCCTCTCCTCTTCCTTCCTCTCCTTTTCCCTCATCTCCTCATCCTCTTGATAACGCCTCACCTCCCCACCCTCCTTATCATACCCAGCATTGTTCCCTATCTCCCCTTCTCTCTCACTGCTCTCTCCCCCATCATTCCACCCATCATCCTCATCCCCCTCCTCCTCTCGAACTTCCCCTTCCTCTAATTCCGAATCCTCCTCCACACCACACTCTCTCCCTCGCACTTTCGCAGCCCCTTCCTCGCACTCACTTCCCCCTCTCTCCCCATCCCCTTGCCTCTGCATTGCTCCTCCCACCCTACTCACCCCATCCCTCTCACTCTCCCCACCTCCCATCTTATCATTACGTCCCTTGTTTGACTCATCCTCGTTATTAGCACGCTCGTTATGGTCCTCCTCCTCATCACTAACATCCAGCACAATCACCTCTTTCCCATGCCATGCCTCAACCCTCTCATCCTCTCGCCTCCCCTTCACGTCCTCCTTCCTGTGCATCACCCTCGCTCCCCTCCCTGCATCACCCCCACATGCGCCAGCAGCACTCCCCAGCCGCTTCCCCTCCTCCCCGGTCCCTTCCATCTCCCCACATTCCCCAACCATTCCGGACAGCTCCTTTTTTTTCTCCTCACTCTTCCCGCCCTGCTCCCTCTCCTCCCCCTGCACTCTCTGCACTCCCTGCCCCTCCTTCCCCCCTTTCTCGCCCTGATCTCCCTCTTCCTTATCCTCCTTCTCCTCTCCTTGTGCACCCTCCTCCCTATCCTCCCCCCCCTCCTCCCTCTCCTCGCCCTTCTTTCCCTGCTCAAGCACCTCCCTCTTCCCCACTTCACCTGGCCGCATCTCACACTCACTCGTCCTCACTCTGCCTCCCTCCACTTCCATCCCCGCATCTGGATCTCCTTCGGAATGTCCCTCCCCATTTTCCTTTTCAAAATGCCCTCTCCAACCACTCCTCCTTTCTCCCTCCTGCACCCCCTGCCCCCCCTCATTCCACTCCTCTGCATCGCCTCCCACCATCCCAGCTGCCTCTTTCTCCCCCACTAGCCTCGCCCCACTCTCCCCCTCTTCCCTTTCAAAGCATCCCCTTTTCCCTCTGCCCTCCTCCTCTTCTCCCTCCTCCTCCACCCGAACCTCCTCCGCCCGACCCTCCTCCACCCGGCCCCTCTCCCTCGGACTCGCCTCCCCCTGGCCTGCCTCTTCATCGTCATCAGACAGAACAATCACATGAGAGGCACCCACAGGCATGCCCAGCAGCCTTCCCCTGCGTGCCTCTCCACCCATGCCCATGCCCCCTCTCGTTTGTGTCTCTCCACCCACAAGCATGGGCATGGGCATGGGCATGGGCATAGGCATGCCCATGACCATGCCCCCTCTCGATTGCATCTCTCCACCCACAAGCATGGGCATGGACATGCTCACGAGCCCTCCCCTGTGCGCCTCTGCACGCACCGCGTTGGGATCCGCTGCTACGGGTGCCTGACGGGGGGGCTGCTCACTCCTCCCTTCCCCCGCACGTGCCCCACTCATTCCACCCACACCGCCTCCCCTCTCGCTCGCTACCATGCACCCTCTGCACCCAACTATCCCTTCCTCCTCTACCTCCTCTTCCTCCTCCCCTCCATCCACCTCCTCCCCTTCCTCCACTTCCTCCCCCTCTTCTAACACCTCCCCTTCCTCCACCTCCTCCATTTCCTCCACCTCCCCTTCCTCCCCCTCCTCCCCCTCTTCTACCACCTCCCCTTCCTCCAATTCCATACTCTCAGTCACCTCTCTCAGCCTCACAACTTCTTCCCTCCTCTCTTCCCTCCTCTCTTCCCTCCCCTCTTCCCTCCTCTCTTCCCTCCTCTCTTCCCTCCTCTCTTCCCTCCTCTCTTCCCTCCTCTCTTCTCTCACTTCCCACCTCTCTTCCCTCCTCCCTTCCCTCTCCTCCGTCCTCTCTTCCCCCCTCTCTTCCCTCCTCTCCTCTCTCAATTCCCTCATCTCATCCCTCCTCCTTTCCCTCTCTTCTGTCCTCTCTTCCCTCCTCTCTTCCCTCCTCTCCTTCTTCCTCTCTTCCCTCCTCTCTTCCCTCCTCTCTTCCCTCCTTTCCTCCCTCCTCTTTTCCCTCCCTTCCCCCCTCATCTCCTCCCTTTCTTGCATACTCTCCCTCTCCCTCTCTTTCTCCCTCTCTCCCTCCCCTCCATTCCTCGCCTCCTCTCCCACATCTCTCACCGTCCCTCTTAACCCACCACCACCACCTAGGCTCAAACCCTGCTCTTCCATCCCCCTGTTGTCGCTTCCAGACCATCTGTCCCTCACCACCGCTTCCAACCCCTCCACACCATTCCTATCCGCGTCGCCATCACGAGCAAAATCACCATCCCCAAGGGAACCAGCACGGCCAACAGAAGGACCAGCAGCGGCAGCAGCAGTGCCAGCACGACCAGCACCAGCAGCAATGCCAGCAGCAGCAGCAGCGGCAGCGACAGCGGCAGCAACAGCAGCAGCACAAGTGGCGGCCCACTCGTCATCGTTCTCTCCCTGGCCCTCTAAACGCTCGCCTCTCAACTCGACACCCCCTGCAGCAGCAGCAGCAGCAGGAGCGCCAGCATTACGGGCAGCTCCAACAGCAGCAGCAGCTTCACCACCAGCATTTACAGTCGCACCCGTACCACCAGCAGCACCAGCACCAGCATCAGCACCAGCATCAGCATCAGCATCAGCACCAGCACCAGCATCAGCATCAGCATCAGCACCAGCATCAGCACCAGCATCAGCATCAGCACCAGCATCAGCATCAGCATCAGCATCAGCATCAGCATCAGCATCAGCATCAGCACCAGCATCAGCATCAGCATCAGCATCAGCATCAGCATCAGCATCAGCACCAGCATCAGCACCAGCATCAGCATCAGCACCAGCATCAGCATCAGCATCAGCACCAGCATCAGCATCAGCATCAGCACCACCAGCAGGATCAGCATGAGCATGAGCATGAGCATGAGCGTTACCAGCAGCATCAGTAACAGAGCTGCCACCAAGAGCATCCTCCTCCTCCTCGTCACTATCTGACAGCTCAATCACCACCCTCTGCTGCCTCCCCGTCCTCTCCCTGCCTTGCACCCCTCCCCCCTCCACTCTTCCCTGCACCCCTCCTGCCACTCTTCCAGTCACACCTCGTCCCACCACTCGCCTCTGCACCCCTTGCTCCTCTACTCTTCTCTGCACCCCTTGCTCCTCTACTCTTCTCTGCACCCCTTGCTCCTCTACTCTTCTCTGCACCCCTTGCTCCTCTACTCTTCTCTGCACCCCTTGCTCCTCTACTCTTCTCTGCACCCCTTGCTCCTCTACTCTTCTCTGCACTCCTTGCTCCTCTACTCTTCTCTGCACCCCTTGCTCCTCTACTCTTCTCTGCACCCCTTGCTCCTCTACTCTTCTCTGCACCCCTTGCTCCTCTACTCTTCTCTGCACCCCTTGCTCCTCTACTCTTCTCTGCACCTCTCCCCTCCCCATTCTTCTCTCCACCCCTTCCCCTGCCCCCCTTCTCCTCCTCACCCTTCGGGTCCCCGCTCTTCCCTGCACCCCTCCCCCCTCCATTCTTCCCAGCACCCTTGGCTCCTCCACCCTTGGCTCCTCCACCCCTCCTTGCACACGTCGCTCCTCTCTCTGCTCTGCACCCTCCCTACCTTGTTCTTGCTGCCCCTCACTCCGTGTCTGCCCTTCATTCCACATCGGCCCCTCGCCTTGCGTCGGCCCCTCGCCTTGCGTCGGCCCCTCGCCTTGCATCTGCTCATTCTCTCGCAAGTGTATCCGCTCCTCTCTTTTTCCTTGCTCCCTCCTTGCACCATCTCCCTCCTCTTGCACACTCCTTGCACCCTCTCCCCCTTGCTCCTCCCCTCTTGCACCCTCTTCCTCCCCTTTACTCCTCTCCTCCATTCCCCCATCCTCGCCTCCTGCCCTTCTCTCTGCTTCCTCTCCCACCTCCCTCTCCGTCCCTTCCCAACACTCCCCTCGCTCCGCTTCTCCAGAATTCGACGCATGCTCCCCCTGTGCCTGCAGCATCTGCCTGCTTGTCTCCATAAAACCAAGGGGAATCGCAGCGGCAGTGACAGGGGCAGTTGGAGCAGCTGCGGGGACAGTTGCAGGGGCAGTTGCAGGCGCAGTACCAGGGGAGATGTGCTGAGAACTTGGAGGGAGATCCACAGAAGGAAAGGGCTGGGTGCGGGGAGATCCGTGCGCAGAGACCGGGTACTGCATGGGGGGGAGGTTTTGAATGGGGGGCGGGTCTTGATTTGGGGGCGAGGCTTGGGTGGGGAGCGATGCATGAAGTATGGTTGAAGAAAGGCTGCGAGAGGGACCAGGAGGGGGTTCGAGAACGAGTGCTGGCTGGTCAGGCAGCGGTTCAGCTGCGGAACGGGCACCAGAGGGCTCAGCAGTAGGTGGTTGAGCAGGAGAGGGGTGAGCGTTTTGCTGGGCGGGAAGAGAGGGGGGTTCCAGTACGAGTGGTGGCACAGCAGGGAGTGGAGGAGCCGTGGAATGGACACCAGAGGGCTGCCCAGTTGGCTGGGCAGGGGAGGGCTGAGAGGTAGGTTGAGCGGGAGAGGGCTGGGCAGTGGACTGGAAAGGAGGCGTTGGGTGCACAGGCGCTCCAAGCGCAGAGAAAGGCTGAGCTGCAAAACAGACAGGCGAGAGGTGAGCGACTGGCTGCACAGGCGAGGGGTGGGTGGATGCCTGGGCTGCAGCTGCTTCCCCTGTGATGAGAACCAAGCCAAACCCCTGCAGCACCGCACTCGTTTGCTCCTCACACACCCTGCTCCCCTGGGGAGCCAAGCTGTTGGCCCGCTGAGTCACGCAGCGGACCAGCTGACTCACGCAGCTGGCCTGCTGAGCTGTACTGTCGGCCTGCTGAGTCATGCCAGCGGCCGGAGGCGCTGTGCTGCCAGCAGCAGCTAGGATTGTGCCGAGAGCGGCAGGTAGGGAGAGAGCGACGGGTGGAGGGGCAGGTGCAGCAAGTGCAACGGGTGGGGGAGGGGAGGGAGCAGGGACTGTGGAGGATTGAGGTGGAGCAGGAGAAACGCATGTGTCACGTGTGGGCATTCTCAGCAGGAAACCACGCATGGCGAGTGATGCAGGTGATGCAGGAGGAACGCCTGTGTCACGTGTGGGCAGAGAGGGGGCAGGTGAGGCAGCAGCAGCAGCAGCAGCAGCAGGTGCCTCAACACGAGAGGGTGGAGGCCCAAACAGCAGCTGAGGAGGGGCATGGCGGCACATCCGATGGCCCCTCGCCCTGCCAAGCTGCCCCCACTGCCCCGCTCCTCGCTTCACTCCTCTCCCTCCCTCTTCTCTCCCTTCCTCTCCTCTCCCTTTCTCTCCTCCTCCCTCGCTCCGTTTCCTGCTCCTCAGATAATGCTGCTGTGTCTCCGGACATTCAACCTCCCCCCTTTCCCCACCCGTTCCTCCACTGCTCATCTCCCCACCCTTCCCCTCACGCCCCTCCTCCCCACCCTGTGCCGCATGCCCCTGATTCCCGCCCAGTCTTTCACCCTCTCCTCTCTCACCATCCTCCCCACCTTCCCCACCCTCCCCGCCTTCACTACCCTGTCTGCAGGATTGCCGATAACTCTCCTCTTCATCTCCCTCTTCGCCCGTCGCACCACAGGCGACCCACCTCGCCTGGGACGCCAGCGCATCTGATGGGTGCCGTGTAATGCGCCTCACCAACCTCACCTTTAAAGCCCCCCGTGGATCAGACGGTTGACGTGTGACGCACCTCAACCCATCCACATCAGTCTCTCCTTCCTCCCTCTCGCAGCCGCCTTCAGCAGCCTTGCCGTTTCCACTTCCGTCTTCCTCCTCATTCTCCTCCTCCGTATTCTCCTTTTCTTTCACCTCATGTCTCTCCCCCGGGTTCTCCTCCTCTTTCTTCTCCACTTTCTCCCCCGTCTCCTCCATATCTTTCTCCTCTTTCTGCCCTTCTCTCGCCTCTATCTCCTCCTCCTGTTTCTCCTCCTCTTCCTCCCCTTCTTTCTCCTCCTCTTTCTCCTCCTCCTGTTCCTCCTCCACTTTCTCCCCTTCTTTCTCCTCCTCTTTCTCCTCCTTGTCTTTCTCTTCCTCTGCATTCTCTTCTTCTTCCAACTCTTCTTTCTCCTCTTTCCTCTCCTCTTTCACCTCCTCCTCTTTCACCTCTGCCTCTACCTCGTTCCCCCCCCATCCCTCTTGCACCTCCACGACATCATCATCATCATCTCCCTCTCTCTTCTCCTCCTCCTCCTCAAATTCCTTTTTCTCCTCCTCCAATTCCTTCTCCTCCTCCTCCAATTCCTTTTCCTCCTCCCCCAATTCCTTCTCCTCCTCCCTCAATTCCTTCTCCTCCTCCTCCTCCAATTCCTTCTCCTCTTCCTCCAATTCTTTCATCTCCTCCCTCAATTCCTTTTCCTCCGACACCTTTTCCTCCAAATCCTTTTCCTCCTCCCCCAATTCTTTCTCCCCCTCCCCCAATTCCTTTTCCTCCTCTTCCAACTCCTTCTCCTCCTCCCCTAAATCGTTTTTCTCCTCCAACTCTTTCTCCTCCTCCTCCAACTCTTTCTCCTCCTCCTCCAACTCTTTCTCCTCCTCCTCCAACTCTTTCTCCTCCTCCTCCAACTCTTTCTCCTCCTCCTCCAACTCTTTCTCCTCGTCCAATGCACCATCCTCCGCTTCCCGCTCTCTCATTTCCACCTCTTCCACTCCCCATTCTCTCACGTCCCCCTCTCCCCCTCCCCACTCTATCACGTCCCCCTCTTCCCCATCCCCGTCTCCCCCATCCTCCTCTCCTCGGATTTCCTCACACTCAACCACCGTTCGTTCAACCTCCCCTTCAGAAGAACCGTCACCAGGGGCAACAGTCACTCCAGGGAGATTCAAGATCGCTTCAGCACTGCCACCACTGCCACTGCTGCCAGCAAGAGCAGCAGCAGCAGCAGGAGGAGGAGGAGCATCACCAGCAGAAGCAGCAGCAGCATCGCCAGCAGCAGCAGCATCGCCACCAGCAGCAGCAAAAGCATCACCTGCAGAAGCAGCAGCGCCGACAGCAGCAGCAGCATCCCTGTCAGCACCACCACCACAACAACACTGTTCCCTGAGCCCACCACCAGTGCTGCTCCCTCCAGGCCCACCCCCGTTGCTGCTCGCGCATGAGGGCAGAGGGGCAGGGAGTGAAGGCGGTGGGGAGGAGGCACAGCAGGATGCATTGGCAGGTGTGAAGGGCGGCTTACCAGCACCGAGCACATCCAATGCACACTTGCCACCACCACCAGCAGCAGAAGCACCAGCAGCACGGAGATCGTTCCGCTGCCTGCAATCCGCATCCCTGTGGTTGCTGGGCGCGCTGTTGCCATGCATGCCATTGCAAATCCTTACATTCGCACCCATGCCATCTACCCCCATGCCACTCCCCCCCATGGCACAACTGGCAGCAGCAGCATCATCACCTGGTGCAGCATCACCAGCAGCAAAACCAGCATCCGGAGCAACAGCATCAACAGCAGCCGCACCACCACCACCATCACCACCAGCACCAGCCACACCATCAGGAGCAGTCAGCACGAGCCCTTGCCAGGAAAACGGCTGATCCACCCGCCAATCCTCCCACCCCCACCCACTCACCACCACCTCCTCGCCCCCCACTCTGCTCCACCACTCCACCCTCGGCACGGGGTACGGCTGCCCGATAGACTCTAGATGGTGCTGCAGCAGCACGTGGAGCGGGCAGAGGGGGTTGACGCGCACGCAGAGAGAGGAGAGAGAGCAGCGCACAGCGCGCCACTTGATAGTGCTTTCCCTCCCGTCGTCTGCCACGTAGCACGTGGGGCTCTCATCAAGACCCTCCTCACTGCTGCTGCTGCTATTTTCGCCCTCGCTGCCGCTGTCGTCACTGTTGCTGCTGCTGTTGTCACCGCTGCTGCTGCTGCTGCTGCTGCTGCTGCTGCTGCTGCTGCTGCTGCTGCTATTGCTGCTGTCGTTGCTTTCGCCGTCACTGCTGCTGCGGCTGTCGTCGCCGCGATCACCGCTGCAGTTGCTGGTACTGGGGGCAGATTGGGCTACTTCTGCTGCTGCAGCAGCTTCTGCTGCTTCCGCTGCTGCTGCGGCTGCTGCTGCTGAAGCAGGGCCCCGGGCCGCAGAGGCAGAGGCAGGGGCAGGGGCAGGGGCAGGGGCAGGGGCGGGTTCGGGGGGCCAGGTGACGTGGTGGTGGAAGAGGCGTACGTAGAAGGTGCACTCGCAGCGCGCCCTCCTGCCCCTCCCCGGCACCTTGTGAGGCTTCCTGTCAATCGCCACCACCCGCCCATCGTAATGCGCCTGGATGGGGACGGGGGAGAGATAAGGGGAGGGAAGAGAGGTGGGGATTCGCTGCAAGAGGCAGGCAGGGGCAGCAGCAGGAGCAGGAGCGGGGCCAGCAGGGCCGGGAGAGGGATTCGGTTCGAGGGCAGGGCGACGGGATGGTGGAAGAGAGGTTAAGGGGAGAAGGGGGACAGACAGAAGCGTATGAGTGGGGTTTCTCTGCATGAGGCACCTCGTGGAGCTTCATTAGAATCGCAATCACCCTCCATCGTGTCGTGGTGCGCCTGAGAGGAGAGTGGGGGGATGGGGAAGGTAGAAGAGGATACAGGAAAGAAACAACGACGCTAGCTGTAAGATCAGAGGCACCTGGGGTGTGATTACCATTTGCAAGGTAAGCCTGCGCATGCGTCTGTGTTCGCGGACGCCCAGCGTGGCGGAGTGCGTGCGTGCAGGAGGGCATGGTGGTGGTGGCGTTTGTCAAGCACCCCCAGGGAGACCCCAGTGTGGATGCAGAGGTGAGTGCGGCCCAGTGCCCTCTATCATGCCACGCGGTGGGCCGCACTCACCTCAGCATCCACACTGAGGTCTCACTGGGGGTGCTTGACAAACGCCACCACCACCATGCCCTCCTGCACGCATGCAATCCGCCACGCTGAGCGTCTGCGAGCGCAGGCTCCCTTTCAAACCAACCTTGGTCTCTCTCACCTCTGCGTCCACACTAGGGTCTCCCTCGGGGTGCTTCACGAATGCCACCACTACCATCCCCTCGCGCACGCGTTCGCACTCTGCCACGCTGAGAGTCCGCGAGCGCAGGCGCAAGCGCAGCCCCACCACATCCTCATCGTCCCCCTCGAACTTGGTGTACGTCACCCGGTACTTCTGCAGACCCGGGTTCAACTCCGGCTGCTGGCAATAAGGGTTAAAGTCCTCATGCTGCAGACCCAGGTTCAAATCCAGCTGCTGGCAACCTGAGTGAACCTCTTCAAGCTGCAGACCCGGGTTCGAATCCCCACGCTGCAGGTTAGAGTTCCACCCAGGGCTTAGATGCCCGTGCTGAGAAGGGGGGTCGTGAGGCAGACTAAGGGGATCATCAGCCGGTGAAGGGGAATGAGGGTGGTGATGGTCTGACGGGCCGGGGAGCAGTAGGGCAGGAGATGTGCGGTGTGCTTCAGCAGAGAAGTCCAGAGCATACATGGCACTGGGTGCAGCGCCGTCAGTCATACCATGCGCATCCTCCTGCTGCTCCTGATGATGCTGCTGCTGATGATGATGATGCTGCTGATGATGATGATGGTGCTGATGATGCTGATGGTGGTGCTGCTGATGCTGATTCACATCCCCATCACCATACCCATCATCATCATCACCATTATTGTGCTGATGTGCATGCTGCCCAGAGTGTTCATGTACATGTTCGTGCTGTGGAAGCTGGTCATGCGCATGTGCATGTTCATGTTCATGATGTGAAAGGTGCCCATGCCCATGGGCATGGTCATGATGCGAAAGGTGGCCAGCTGCTGCGTCGCTCCCTCTGCCCAGCACACGCACGTCCCACAGGCTGCCGCGGTGGAAGCACTCAAAGACTGCCGGACACAGGACGGGGGAGGGGGGAGGCAGCGTGGCATGGGGGTGGATCGTGACTTGGCTCATACAAGACGTTTCTTTCTTCACTGCTGTGTCTCCCCCTCTGCCAGCAAACGCACATCCCACGGGCTGCCGCGGTGGAAGCACTCAAAGACTGGCGCAGGGAAGGGCGGAGCGGTTCAAGAGGGGGAGGGGGAGCGGAGGCGAACATTGCATAGGGGTGCGTCAGCAACAAATCTCACCTGAAAACAGGGAAAAAAATCACCTGAGCAGCCTCAGCCACAAACTTCACTGGACCAGCAGTATCACCTGAGCAACCTGAGCAGAAAAAATACACCTGGCCTGTCGTCAACGTTCCTGGGCACCAGCGCCTTGACCGGGTTGACTTTGAGTCAACTCAAAAGCAGCAAAAATACACCTGGCCTGTCGTCAACGTTCCTGGGCACCAGCGCCTTGACCGGGTTGACTTTGAGTCAACTCAAAAGCAGCAAAAATACACCTGGCCTGTCGTCAACGTTCCTGGGCACCAGCGCCTTGACCGGGTTGACTTTTGAGTCAACTCAAAAGCAGCAAAAATCACCTGGCCTGTCGTCAACGTTCCTGGGTACCAGCGTCTTGACCGCCGTAGCTGTCCCCCCGTTCCTCCTCCTCGCACCTCCCTTCCTCCTACCCCCCTTGGTGCCGTTACCCCCTTCCTTCACCTCCCTCTCTTCCTTCCCCTCCTTTCGTCCCCTCCTCCGCCTTCCTCTCTCCTCCCCTCTAACCGTACTCCTAGTTTCCATGCCCTTACTCTTGCCTCCCGCGCGCTTCCCGCCGTTCCCTGCACTCTTCCCCTTCCCCTCCCCCTTCCCTTTCCCTGTTCCCTTCCCCTTGCCCCCCGCATCCCGAGTTTCTTCCCCCCTGACCGAACGTGCGATGCGCCTTCGAGACATTATTGCAGCTCATTGACTAAACGAACGCTATGGCAAATTAGGGGTACTTTTCTACGGACACTAACGCTATGGGCTATTTATGGTCACCTTTTTAAAACGACGTCAATGTCAACGGCCCTGGAAAATTCGAGCGACGTCGATGCGACATAGACGCATGGGATAGAATGGCAGACAGCATAGAATGGCTGTAACGATAGGGAGATAGACGCATTCGGCCTAGAACACACATTTCTTGAGGCTGACCTATGGCTGACAAAGTAGTAGTAGTAGTAATAACGACATTAAGAGGATAGTAAAACGTTGGAGGAGCGGAGAATACTACACGAAATTATTCCGGGGACACGACATGCGGATGACATCCGTGAACCGCGAATCAGAAGGTAGAGTGTGGCTTTATGTCCATGCATTGAACGAGATGTGTCCATGTATCTGCTGTGCGGAAATCCCAAGGGGCGTGAAAGATGGGAAATGTACGCGATGCTAGCACGCTTCGAGAAGAGCGCAAGATACACCAGCTACAAGAAAAATCGGGGTTTTGAAGCACACTATTCTTTCTCCATAAGAAACATGTGAATGGAGTTGAACAATGCTGCCTCCAGATATGCAACTGTTTGCGAAATGAAGCGGGCTATTCGCGAACTGCGATTTGCGACACTGGACGTTATGGGATGGCCCACCCAACGCCAACGGAAATGCTGCGGCTTTGGAAACACGAGTGGTGCTGCTGAGCCGGTTTGTACACAGGGTAAATGTCCTGAAGTCTCTAGAACCGTATATTCTATGTTTGGGAATTTGTGAGGCTACGCGTGGTGATTTTTTTTTTTTTAATATGTTAAGATATACACCGATGATGCTAGTGCATACAAACATATATCAGTCGTAACTGAGCGTGAGAGGCCCGGCAGCGTGCCAGCCTCAGGGGACGACTCTAAGGGGGATGCAGTGCCCCTCGCGCAAGATTCCACAGCGCGCCAAAGCGATGGGACCATTTCCAGCCCTTGCCATTCAGAGACCGGACACGTCCAAGGAGCCGACCCTCCTGTTCTGCCAGCGCGTATGTCTTCCCGCCCTGCCTCAAGTCACCCTTCATGCTCAGCTTTATCCGCGTGGTGATTGTTGACAACACACTGTTTGGTTCTAGACCCGATTCACATCTCCATGCTCGCAGTCTGGCGCTCGGTCAGTCTGGGTTTTCCAACACATGTATGTTTTGATATATAGCCCTCAAACTCTCCGAGTTTCCTTCGGAAGAAATTGGGTTGGGTAGAACTGGTTCTGTGGAAAATATGGTTCTGCACCTAGCTTCCCTGCCGAACCAAGAAAGCATCAAACTATTCTTGTCAGCCAATCATAGGAGCCCACACCTGATCCCCAAGATTGCGGTTCGGGCGTTGGAATCCTTCATGTGACAGCATTTGTGCCACGAGGTACAGTGGTTTGAGGGCCCGCTTTAGGAAGCTGCGATCTGCATATATGGCAGACACACGGTAACATGATCCCTTGAACGAGAATGTAACAACTAATGCCGAATCAGCGACACTGGCATTTACCAATCAGCTCGTAGCTAGCGACAAGCGAAAAGCGATGTTGATCAGGTGATACCTTCCCCACCTCTAGCATACCGATCAGCTGCCCTCCCTCTCCTGCTTGCCTTGTTCGCAAACCCTAATCGGCATTCACAACTCTAGACGAGACCAGACTTCTTAGGTTCCCTTTTAGGTGTGTTGCACGTGAGCCCCAGTTTACTTTAGGGCGACGTCCAATGGCGTCGGACCCAGCACCGTCCACGGACAAGTGGATGAATTTTCTGACGGAGGCGAATCTCGACGACGACACCTACGTGCCCGGTGTGCTGCTGCCGTCGCAGCCTGCGTTAGAGCAGGTCGCGTGCAGGTACGTGCTGGTCTAGTTCACGTTAGGTTTCTAGATGAACAGATTCTACTCCAACCTCCAGAATTGCGTCTGCCGGACCATCGCTCCAATGCTTACATTCTGGATAAGTCGAATATCGAGTCGACTCACAGTAGGGCGACTTGATTTTGCCAGTTTGTTTCCGTGACGTCGCACACACTAGCTTCTTCGGAAGATTCAATCAGGGCTTGTGTGTGGAACCTCTTAACTCTTAAAAACCTGTTGGAATTTGAACGTCGCTCCTGGTCCCTCCCAGTATGCGCGTTGAACGGTGGTGCGCTGTCTCACACGTTCGACCTTTCAGTGTCGTGTTACACAATTCGCTAACGCTCGACGTCGTGTTTCGCAATCTCTCAGCCTTTCACTGTCGCCTTACGAGCTTCGTCGGTCGTCGAATGTCACATCTATTCATCAATCTTTCGCTGTCCACTTACGAAACGTGTCGGTCTCTCACTGATTGTCTCACGCCATTCATCAGTCACTCACTGTACCCGTACGCAATCCGTCAGCCTCTCAGTCACTCAGTGACGCCTCACGACATTCGTCAGTCACTCAGTCACTCACTGTTCCAGTACTCCATCCGTCAGTCCTTCCGTCTCTCAGTGTCGCCGTACGCAATGCTCCTCCTGTGGACCAGTGCCGCGCCACATCATTCATCCATCACCCGTTTCAGTTCCATCTCCCCTCCCGCTCCTCTCCCCTCCGTTCTCCCCTCCTCCATCCCCACGCCTTCCCTCGTCGCCCTTCCGCTCTCCCCTCCCATCCCCACTCCTCTCCTCTCCCTTCCCCTCCCCCACTTCTCCCCTCTCTCCTCCCCCCCTCTCCTGCGCGCCTGTGCAGCGCCGAGGGCGGCGGCGGCAACACGGAGGAAGGCGAAAAGACGGGTTCCAGTAGCAGGAAGAGGTATGGGATGGGGAGGTAGGAGGTGGGGGGTAGGGGAAAGAGGGGGGAAGGAAGGGGAAGAGGGGGTGGGGGGAAGCGAAACGTGGGAGAAGGAGAGAGAGGGGGTGGGGGAAAGGGAAGGTGTTGGAGGGAGAGGGACCGGTTAAGTGAGGAAGGGGGGAGTGAATTGTCTATGGCGCCGAGAGTGACGGAGCGGCAGGGGCACGGAGGAATGCGAGGAGATGGGTCGAACAGCCGGAAGCGGTGAGGGGAAGGGGGGGATGCAAGGGGTGGGCGAGAGGGAGTGATGAGAAGAAAGGGTGAGGGGAAAAGAGCGAGAGCGAAAGGAGACAGGTAAGTGCGAGAGGGAAGGCAGGTCGTGCTGACCTGTCTTTGCTGTCGTGTCGTGTCGCCATTGGTTGTCACGTGTCGCTTTGGTTGACTCACGATTCGTTCTTGAGTTTTGCTACCACCTCCCCGCCCTGCCACGCTCTTGCGTTGTCGTTCTCCGTGTGCCAGGTCGCGGGATGAGGGCGCGGCCACTGCTGACGTGTCATGCAGCAAGGCCAACCGGGAGAAGATGAGACGCGACCGACTCAACGACAGGTGACACGTGGCAGGTGGTCATTCGGTGACAGGTGACAGGTGGATGCTGACTCCATGGTGGTGTATATATTCTTGAGAGATTTTCAAAATTACCCTGAAAGGGTAGGTTATTGATTGTACGACCGATGTAGTCATGACTGTGGCATTGCATTGCCAGGTGGAAACTGGCAGATGACAGATGGTAGTGGTGACACGTGCACATGCACACTCACACACACACACACACACACTCACACACTCACACACACACACACTCACTCACACACACACACACTCACACACACGCACACTCTTACACACACACACACTCACACACACACACACTCTCACACACACACACACACACACACACACACACACACACACACACACGCCCACACTGCCATTGCCTATCAAGACGTAGTGGGATCTGTCAGAGTGCCCTTCATCCCCCCACCCCTCCCTCCTTTCCCCCGCCCCCCTCTTCCCTTCTCCAGGTTTCTGGAGTGAGTGGGCCATTGGAGCCCAGCAAGGCGTACTGGGAGTCGGTCACTGGAGCCGGTGGGCCAGCCTGTGCCGCAGTGGATGCATGCATCAGCGTACTGGGAGTCGCTCACGGTCCTCTTCCCATCCCAACCGCCCCCTTCCCACCTCACTCCCACCGCGCTGCAGGTTCCTGGAGCTGAGCCGGTCACTGGAACCAGGGAAAGCTCCCAAGGCGGACAAGGCGAGCATCCTGTGTGACGCGGTCCGCGTGCTCTCCCAGCTGCGCGCCGAGCGCGAGGCCCTCAAGGAGAGCAACGCGGCGCTGCAGGAGCAGATCAAGGAGCTCAAGGTGCGATGGGGGGCTGGCGGTCTATGGGGGGGAGGGGTGTGCAGGGGGTTGTGCTGGGTGGGGAGGGGTTGTGGTGATGATGCTGCCCTCAAGGAGAGCAATGCGGCGCTGCAGGAGCAGATCAAGGAGCTCTCAAGGTGCGTTGGTGGGGGCGGGGGGGGGGGGGAGGAGAGAGGGGAGGAGATGAAATGGGGGAGGAAGGTGGCCATGCAGGTGAGGCAGACCACGTGGCCATGCAGAAGTGCAACCATGCCTTCTGGTAATGAAAAAAATGAGGTTTTTTAAGAGGCAGAATAGCAGAGGGATAAGCGCTGCTGGGAGTGAGTCAGTCTGGAAAATCTTCTTTTATAAGCACAACAGGTAGACACTGCTGCATGTGAGAATACCCGCAAGCAACTCTTTCTCTTCCCCGTGCGCCTAGCACGATTCATGCGAGGAGAAGGCCTGGCCTAAATTCGTCTCAAAGCTTGCTTCTTTCCTCTCCTTTTCCCTTCTCCTGCTCCTCCCTCCCTCCTCCTGGTGTCCTGTCCCCCTTCCCTCCCGTCCATCCATCTGTGCAGGCTGAGAAGCACGAGCTCTGTGAGGAGAAGGCCTGACTCAAGGCCGAGAGTGAGAAGCTTCAGCAGCACTTCAACGGCTCCGCTGCGTTTGAAGTTCCCACAAGCAACTCTCTCTTCCTCTCTCCCTGCTCTTGCATCCATCCGTGCAGGCTGAGAAGCACGAGTTACGCGAGGAGAAGGCTCGGCTGAAGGCCGAGAGTGAGAAGCTTCAGCAGCATGTCAACGGCTTTGCTGCTTTCAAGAGTTCTCACAAGTAACCCACCCCCACCACCCCCTCCTCCGTCCTTTGGTCCGTGCAGGCTGAGAAACATGAGCTCCGTGAAGAGAAGGCCCGCCTGAAGGCGGAGAGCGAGAAACTGCAGCAGCACGTCAACGGTTCTGCTGCTATTGATAGTTCTCACAAGCAGCCCGTCCCCTCCCCACTCTTCCTCCCCTGTCCGTGCAGGCTGAGAAGCACGAGTTACGTGAAGAAAAGGCCCGACTCAAGGCCGAGAGCGAGAAGCTTCAGCAGCACGTCAATGGCTCTTCTGCCGCTGCAGCAGCAGCTGCTGCTGCTGCTACCCCCACCCATCAGGCCACTCCCACCACCACCATCCCCGTCACCGCCATCCCTCTCCACCACTCTCCACCCACCGCGCCCGCCACGCCCATGGCGTACCAGCCGCACCCCCACGCTGCGGCCATGCATGCAGCTGCTGCTGCGTATGCGGCTCAGATGCAGCAGTGCCAGCAGATGGCTCTCGGCACTCCCAAGGGAGCACACATGGGAGGCATGACCACTCCCATGCCAGCTCCCATGTCTGCTCCTATGCCTACTCCCATGACTGCTGCTGCTGTGTCGCACGCTGTGTCGCATGCCGTGTCCCATCCAGTGGGTCAGCCTGTGCCTCAGCCGATGCATCAGCCAGGGGTGTTTGCGGGCGGCCCGCCGCCCATGGCCATGTGGCAATGGATGGCGCCTACCTCAGTTGACACCTCCCAGGACCACATGCTCCGGCCGCCTGTGGCTTAGATAGTACCTCCCCCAGTTGGCACTCACCTCTCCCAGTTCACACCTTACAGTACCTCATGCTCAGGCCAAGTGTGGTGTAAGAACTGTTGACAGCTGGCACATTGCATGATAACATGCTCTGTCCGCGTGTTTCTCTCAGTTTAGGAAGGATAATTGTTTCTGTGGCTTGGTTGTGGGTGGATGGACGGAAGAGTATTGGCCAATGGCCAGTATGATTATTTTGGTGTGGTGAGTTTTTCGAACAAAACTAGGATGGTGTTTTACTGGAGCTATATTAACTAACTCTCTTATCTGGTGCTTGGAGCATCAGTACACGGTTCAATCTTTCAATGTGAGGGGTGGTTTGAAAGGCCCTTAGATATCAGGAAAAAAAGCCCTGAAATTCCCTATTTTCAGGGGTTTTTTTTGTACCTGCACTGATTTTCCAGTGTTCAGATTTTTAGAGAGACTGATTTTTCAGCCTTTTTTTCTCAAAGGGGACTGATTCTTCAGCCTTTTATCGAAGTGTACACTGAATGCACATTCCGAACCCCTGCTGTAAAACACCGGGGACAAGTTGTGAACCATTTACTCAAATTTTTGCGTACATATAAGCATGTTAACCATCAAGCACCTAGCAACTCTGCAGCTAGTCGCCAGCACTATATGGTCGACCGCCTGCCAGCGTTGCTTAGAGGAGCCGCGCCAGCACGGGAGAAAGGCGACCTACCAACACTGCAAATCGACGGCATGCCAACGCTGCAGCAAAGCGGCTGTCCAGCGTTGCCCCGTAGAAGACAGCAGTGCGCACGCTCGTAAGTGCGCGAAGACGATTGGCCCGACTTGCACCGTTGTGCATTCGTCGGCTGTTGTCTGCGCTTGACGAGCCACATCGACTTTGGGATACCAACCCGAAGTCGCCTTCGTCATCGCGACCTCGACGACGTTCGCGTGCCTCCGCGACTCGTCAAGCAGGTTACCCGGTCGACCTGGTCGACCACCAGGTGCTACCGGTCGACCACCACTGCCTCTGGTCGACCACCACTACCTCTGGTCGACCACTAGGTGCCTCTGGTCTACCACCAGGTGCCTCTAGTCGACCACAGCTCCTATCAAGCTACCCCCTGGTCGACGGACCCCTTCCGTCAACCGGAACTGTCAGTTGTTGTCTCCGAGCTCCCCTCGTAGACCACTGCTCACTTGTCAAGTCGACGGACTGCTCCGTCGACCTCTCGGTCGAACTGCAGGTCGACGACTGCTCGGTCGACCTCCCAGTCGAACTGCAGGTCGACGGAGTGCTTCGTCGACCTCCTAGTCAAACTGCCCCTCCTGGTCGACGGCCCACCCGTCGCCCAGACCAGTCAGATGCAGCTGTCGAGCTCCCTGGTCGACAGCAACACCATAGCGGTCCCCTGCAGCCCGACGAAGCCTGTCAAGCAGCTCTCCCACTGTGAACAGTCAGCTGCTACTCTTGTACATCCGACCAAGTCGTCGGCGTTGCCCAAGCGAGGGCGGGGCCATCACTCCATTCCCATCAACACTCCCCTACTGTGCTCACGCTTGGGCCTGCAGCCCACACGGAAGTACTCCATGGAAAAACCTCGTCGTTAGCGTGCACCCCACACACCGCACGCCGTCAGCGCACCAGCCGTGCAGAAGGGCACGGCACCTAATGCTGCACCTCATCGTCGCCATCGCTGACGTCGGCCAGACGAACTTGGTCGATGGCGACAGAGCACCGGATGAAAGCCGGAAAATGGAGCGCCTTCGTCAGGAAGTCAGCTGGTTGCTCGATGGTCGGGATGTACTTCAGCACGAACTTCCTGTGCCTCACCATGTGCTGCAGCCAGGCGTAGCGTCGCTCCATGTGCTTGAGGTTGCCCGTCAGCCCCAAGCCCTCAGCGACCGTGATTGCTAAATTGTTGTCGACGTGGAGGATGGTCGGCTTCCAAGCATCGAGCAGCTTGAATTCCGCAGGGAGCGAAGTCGATGCCCCTCCTTGCCGGCGTCCGTGGCCGCGACGTACTTTGACTTCGTCGAGGAGAGTGTCGCGCACTTGATGCGCTGGCTCGACCAGGAGACCGCGGCCCCTCTGAAGACGAACACGTAGCCGGTGGTGCTCGTCCGGTTCTGCTTGTTGCCCACGTCGTCGGCGTCCACGTAGCCGATGAGCTCTAGCGACTCTGGTCCACCGCTGAACTCCAAGGCGGTATCGCGGGTGTCAGCGAGGTAGGCAAGGTAGTTGTCGACCTCGAGCCAATGCTGGTCGCTCCTCACCGTGAGGCCGCTTCCCAGCTTGCTGCAGGCGAACGCGATGTCCAGCCTTGTCGTTGTCGCCGCAAACTGGAGCGAGCCAACCTTCTACCGCCAGTACTCCTCCTCCTCGCGCTCCTGCGCCTCCTCGTCGTCGAATGTCAGTTCGGCGTAGGCGTTGACCGAGACCGCCCTGCTCCTCGTCAATGAAGCGTCTGCGCAGCTTGTCGACGTAGCCCTGTTGGTGTAGCCACAGCTTCCAAGCCGGCTTGACGCGCACGATCTCCAGCCTGAGGTACTTCTGCACCGGCGAGATCTCGCGCAGCTCGAAGGCAGCCTCCAGCAGGTCCTTCAGCTCCTTAAGCATCGCGGTGCTGCTGCTGGCAGCGAGCAGGCCGTCGACGTAGACCAGCACCCAGCAGGTCACACCATCGTCGCCGGCCTTGAAGTAGAGCGACTCGTCGACCTGGCTCTTCTTCTAGCCAGCGCCCAGCAGCACACTGTCAAGAGCCCTGAACCACAGCAGCGGCGACTGCTTTAGCCCGTAGAGGCTTTTTAGCAGCTTACACACCCGGCCGGTCCCATCGTCAAAGTAGTCCGGCTGATACATGTAGAGGATTTTGTCGAGATTACTCTGCAGGAAGGCGTTTTTCATGTCGGGCTGCATTGTGAGGATCTAGGATCAAGCTCAAGAAAAGAGAGTTTGAATTGAATGATCCACCTGGGTACAACACGAGGCTATATATAGTCTCGACACAAGGCCAGTTACCCAGGTGTTATGCGAATGTTCTGAGGGTCACGAAGCGACCTGAAAAGAACCTTCCCGAACTCGGCGAAAAGCGATTCGGTGGAAACCGTATAGGCTTGAGTCTGGTACACGTAACCTCGTTCGGTGCTATAACTATAATAAAATATAGGAATGCTCATAACCTAGGAAATCAAGCATATCTATACGTGCTCCTTCATGTTATTGGAGTAGATATGAATGTCGTCCAGGTACACCACCATGCATTCGTCCAATAGGGGCCGTAGGATATGGTTTATCTCTGCGTGGAACGTCGCTGGTGCGTTGCAGAGCCCAAACGACATCCCTAGATATTTGTAGGAGTCGTATCGGGTACGGAACGCCGTCTTGTGGATCGAGTTGTCCGCCATCTTGATCTTCCAGTAACCTGACTGTAGGTCCAGCTTCAAAAAGAGTGTTGCACCACGCAGCTGGTCCACTAGGTCGTCTATGCGCAGTAAGGGATATTTGTTTTTTACTGTTTGTTTGTTCAGTGCGCGGTAGTCGATGCACGTTTGTAAACTGCCGTCTGGTTTTGGAGTGAAGAGAACTGGTGCACCGTAGGGAGAGGTGGATGGGCGAATCAACTATCTGTCCAGTAGATACTCATCTACTTCTTCATGTCTATCAATTCGAACAGACTTAGTCGGTATGGTGCACATGAGACAGGTTTTGCACCTGGTTCCTCCACAATCTCGTGCTCATGGGTGCGTGCTGGAGGTACTCATGCGGGTAGGTCGTCGGACATTATATCTTTGTACTACTCCAACACCTCCTTTACTGCTGCAGGTAGCTCTGTTTTCGACTTCTCCTCCTTTGCTGCTACCATAACCAGTGCTAAGTAACCTGTGTTTCTCTCATTCACCGTCTATTCAAGCCGTGCTAGCGTCGTTTCAGGAACGCTCCCTGTATCCGTCCAACTTCGCAGCTCCACTCGTTTCCCGTTGTTGTAGATGCACGCCTTCCTGTTGACCCAGTCGATCTCGGAGTTGAACCGCTTCAAGAAATCTCGCCCCAAGATGAAATCTAAACCCTTGATGTTCGTGATCGGCAATGTCGGCTTCCACCCCAGCGCCAATATGTGCAGTTGCAGTAATGCTTTGCCATGGATGGGAAGTTTTGTATCGTCCACCATCGTTGCCGTGAACTTGGTCTCCTCGGAAGGTTCTCCAATTTTCTCCAACGTCCCGCGATCACACACTGAGTGAGATGCACCGCTATCCACCACTGCCTGAAGGCATCGTCCTTCGCATAACACCTCGAGGAGTAGTGGTTCCTACTGCGCTGAGTATCCAAAGAGGGTCTCATTGATAGGATCATAGGGTGCATCAAATATATTACCATCCCTATTTCCTATACCTGACTCAACACTTTCCAACTTCACCTGTGGGTTATGAGGATTTTGCCGAGGATTGTACAACTTCTCATAAGCCTGGAATTTTCATCTAAGCCTTTGCAGCTGTGTAGGCTTCACCTGTGGGCAACGAGGAGCCTAAACACTGTGCTGCGGGGAGAGAATGTTAACTCTACGGAACGCACGACCGTTTTCTACGCTCCGTAATGCTTTGCCCAACTTCTCAGATATTTGAATAATATCTAAAGGTTTTTTCTTAGCCTCTAACTCTCCCCTGAATTTCTCAAAGGCTTGAAAACCACGAGAAGTAGTATTCTTGGTTAAACTTATCTTTATAAGATAGCTATAACGAATTCTTAATTTCGTGGGTGTTCGGCTGGAGTTTCCCGAGCGGTGCAGAGTCTTTTTTCTCGGAGCCTCCGTTTGTCTCGGTGATTTCCCTTGATGCCGGCCAGTCGTGACGTTTTATATTCGCGCCATCATTTTTTCATTTTTTCGCCCGCTCCGAAGTCGCCACGTTGCCGCCCTTTTTTGCTTTTCGAATCTTTACGCGATCGCCAGGTCGATCCGCGGCTACTGGCGATTCCCATTTTTTTACATCGGGGGTGTTGTACTGTTGCCGCACAGCAG